AAGTCTGAAAATAAATATAAAAGAATAAAGGTAATTTTCTCATAATAAATTTTACAATTTTCAATTTTCTTATTTAAAAATTAAAATTTTCAAATTTTCTATTTAAAGTTTATCAAAATCAAGTCTACGAAAAGAGAATAAGATCTTAGAAAATATCTACAAACATTGTGAAATTGAAAAATTTTATTAAATACTTTATTTCTATTTTTTTTACATTCTATAATTCTATAAAGATAAAATAAAGATAAAACGATATGTAAACAAAAAATTTATCAAAAACAATATTTCTAAAATATTCCTACAATAAATATCAATATTTATATAATAAAAAATATAATTATTTTAAATTATTTTATCCAGTATACGACATATTACTATTGTATTGAAATTTTATAAAACATAGTAATATAGATTTACTCTGAAAAAAAAATAAGAAAAATCAGTCATTTAATGAATACGCACACGTTATTCGTATAACTCTAGTTAGATTTTATTATGTAGCAACCAATTCCGGAACTGATCACAATGCTAGAAAAGTTTCACTTTCGCAGAAACTATTTACCGTGAAATATATCTGACAATACGCCAGCAGATCTTGAAATACATCTATAATTTGTTTCTGCTCCGGTTGTGCCATATTTTGTGGCACTTTCCGTGCTATGAGTTTTACATGCTTCTCAATACGGGGTGAACCCGATTGATCACGGCTCGATTGGACACCACCAATCACAGCGACCAGGTGCCTAGGAGCTTTGTTGTCTCAAGCGCTGTGAGTGGATCGTGTCCAACTGGGTGCCACTCGGGTCCATACATGTTCATGCATCTCTTTTTCTTTTGTAAAATTACTTTTCAGTGTAACAGAAATAATAACAGTAATGAGAAAACATTAAAAATTAAAGGGATAATTTTCGCATTGTACGTTTCAGAAAAAAAAGTTTAGAAAAAAGTTACTCATACGCAATTATGCATAACTTTAGATATAATTATACATAAGTAACTTTTTTATGTTTCTTCTAACTTGATTTTTTTTTTAAAACAGTATAAAAATTACATTTTTAATTATTTTTAATATTTTCAGATTACTATTATTTCTATTACACTAAAAAATAGTTTTACAAAAGACAAGGATGTATAAACATATACCAGGTGTACAAGTATGAAATGCGGATTTTTTTCCCAAAAAAAGGGGTGATCCCGATTGACCACGGCTCGATTGGACACCACCAATCACAGCGACCGGTGCTTAGGAGCTTTGTAGTCTCAAGCGCTGTGAGTGGCTCGTGTCCAATTGAGCTGTGTCCAACTGGGTGCCACCCAAAAAAAACACGTTAAATTCGGATAATTGATAAAAAGTGGTTTATTCAAAGTATGCTCCATTGCTAGTTACACATTTTTCCCATCTTTCAGGTAATTCGTGGATACCACGCCAGTAAAAATCTTCCCCTTTTGTCGCAAACCATTCATCGAGCCATTTTTTCACATCTTCGTACGAACCAAAGCATTCCTCAGCAAGTGCGTGATCCATCGATGCAAACAAGTGGTAATCGGAAGGGGCCAAGTCTGGTGAGTAAGCCGCATGGGCTAGCACTTCCCAGCTGATTGCTCCCAACATGTCGCGAACCGGTTTTGCCGTATGTGATGGAACATTGTCATGGAGAAAAATGATCTTGTGTTGCCTTTTTTGATATTCTGGTCGTTTTCCGAGTAGCGAACGGTTCAAATCGATCAATTGTTGTTCGTAGCGTTTGATATCAACCGTTTCAGCAGGCTTTAACAGCTCATAATAGACCACACCCTTCTGGTCCCACCAAACACAGAGCATCGTCCTGCCAAAGCGATTCGGTCTTGCGGATGGTGCGCCTGGGTCTACCGATGATTTTTTGCGCTTGAAATTCTCAAAATATATCCACTTTTTAGCCCCAGTAACGATACGATGCAAAAACGACTTTCTTTTGTATCGTTCGAGCAAAATTTCACATGTGTTTTTGCGCCTCTCCATCTGCCTCTCGTTCAACTCATGTGGTATCCATCTGCCGTCCTTCTGAATCTTTCCCATCTCTCGTAGGCGTTTGGAAACAGCTTGTTGACTAACGCTCAATTGCTCTGCGAGTTGTTTTCGTGTTTGTGAATCGTCTTCGTCCAACAATGCTTGCAATTCTACATCTTCAAACCTTTTTGGCGGTTTTCCGTGTTCCTTGTCTACAACATCGAAATCACCACTTTTGAAACGCCGAAACCATCGTTCACACGTATCTTGCGATGGAGCATATTCACCATAAGCTTCTTGAAGTAATCGGTATGATTCAGCAGCACTTTTCTTCAAATGAAAACAAAAAATTAATGCTGTCCGCGAATGCTCTTTATCTGGTACAAGTTTCGACATATTGAACACAGCAAAACAATACTATACAAACACTTTTTCAATTTATCACTTATGCACGTTTAACACTTGTTGATGGCACAACAAAATGGCATATACGTCAAATCTTTATACTACACACTGCATTGGTGCACCATTTGTTGTCTCGAATCCGCATTTCATCCTTGTACACCTGGTATGGACATATTTCGTATATGATTATACATGTTTATGAATATTTATGTATGTTTATACATATTCATGCATGAACAATTTTTTATCGGAATTTATGTTATCAAAAGTGCATTTTATATAAATAAAATATTACTATCCAATGCAATGTATTGAATAAATATAAAGATAATGGAAAATTTGTCTTACCTTGCAATACTAAAAAAGGATCCTTTCCAAAGTTACAGATAATTAGGACGACACTACCGTGGCTATTTAACAAATGGCTCAATTTGATTCTCTTCTCAGTCCTATTTGCTCATAACCGAGCGTGGTGACTTCTCTCATATGTCAGTGGTGTACACGTTGGTTCTACACAGTCATATGCTTGAGTCAACTTGATTAGACAACTGAAAAAAAGATTAATTATTAAAATATGAATAACAATTGGATAAAATGATACACCGTGCGCATTATGCATGCATTATCGTGCCGGCGAGTTAAAAATTACATTGTGAAATGCAACAGCATTTAAACAAAAACTTAATGTTTTTATTCTTATGCCAATGTTCATCTTTCGAATAATAAAGATATTAGGTGCGACTTCATGAACGTAACCTCTAATTTTAAAATTAATTAATTGTACGATAAATCTGCCAATAGTCGGAAAAATATAATTCTAAATAAATACAACATTAATGTTGTATTCTTTATTTTATATTTTTTTCCAAATATAAGTGAGGAAAAATAGAGGATTACCTTAGATTCACTATGCTCAATCTCGTGGCTCACATGCCTGCACACCTTCTTTCTTCTTCTTCTAGTAAATTGGCCCTGCAGCTTTATGAAGGCTGATACTGAGCCATTGAGATCTTCGGAATTGAATAAATCGTAAATGCAATGCACCTCGAACCGAGCGAGTAAAATAAAAGATGTAATCAAAATAAAAATAGAAAGCGCCCCTCCAGCACTGAGAGCCTGCGACTACGACGCTTCGGTACCACACGAACGCACGTCCGACAGGCGACACGCATGTGGCAGAAAAGGCGGGAAAAGAAGGATCTAGAAGGATCACTCACTGGGGTGCGTTCCAAAACTCGACTTTTGTCAACTTAAGTATCATTGGGCGCATTCAGCGGACTCAAAGGTCTGTTTTTTATTGCCGCATTTTCTGAACTAGTACACACAGTGCAATAAGTTGAAGTGAAACAAATATACGTTTGTTTCACTTTAACTTATTGCACTGGTTCAGAGTGCAGCAATAAAAAACAGACCTCAACAGTTGAGTGAGTGCTCGCTGTTATTGTTGTATTCTTTTAGCTCATCCAATCAGAATTTTAGATTTAGAAGAATACACCAATAACAGGGAGCGCTCACTTAACTGTTGAGTCCGCTGAATGAGCCCATTAGTTGCGTTCAGCAGAGAAAGCAGTTTTGCAACTGTAAACTTCTTTAATATGATTGGTCTTGCCCTTAGTTTCTCATTGGATCTAAATATATAAACCAATCATATTATTTTATTCTTGTGTTCACTGAATGTTCAACAAGGATAAAAAATACTCGGAGTTGATATAGTTCAGTTTTGGAATGCACCTCTGATGACGCTATTACCGCCGCGTGTTCCGGCATTTGTATTTACGAATTTTAGCGCCACAAATACAAATGTAAAATATAATTTCAAAAAATAATTTCTAATATATCGGATCATTATCAACGTTTACAGCTCCCATACAGCACAGAATTTGCAGCAATACTGCTGCAATAACGCTGCAATATTGCTGCAACGTGCAATATTGTTGCAATGCTGCAGCATTGTTGCTGCAACTTTTGTACTGTAGGGGAGAATTAGTCAAAACGCAACTTTTGTACTGTAGGGGAGAATTAGTAAAAAACATAACATAGGACGAAGATTCTTTTTAATTATTGATATCAACGGTTAGATGGTTTGACATTGCGAAGTATATTCTTATTTTTCATCGACCGACCATATGCTAAGTTTTTACTATTCTGACAAATTTTAATGTATGTATTATACTGTTAATGTATGTTAGGTACTGTTAATTTTGACTAACAAGAAGGAGATTCATCTTAAAAATGAGCTATCGAAAAAATGATATGAAAGAAAAATCAAACTTATAAAATAATAAGCAATTTAATAAATTGTGAATCATTTAAACACCGCGTAACGCACAAGTATAGAAATATACTTATTACTTAAAGTTCTCTCTATAGTGAATTAGTAAAGTTTAAATCAAAATATTAATATAGCAGTACAACTCCACTAAGTTTTATTTTATATTGTTAGGTATTAAATATATTATGATAATAATCATTAGTCATTACGCTCACTTGTGTATGAAATGAAAACGACATTAGGTTTTTTGTATAATATATGCGGCATTGGAAAAGGGACTTAACGAAACGACGGCAGAGAGAAACTAACCTGACCGCTCTCGTTCCATCAACAGCTGATTCATAAACCTTACCGTGAGTGTCTTAAAATTATTGGAAGATAAAAACACTATAAATTTGGCTTAAGAGGGCTATAATATAGACGTTTTCCAGCAGGAGACACAAAGGACAGTGAACATATTATATTCTTGTTTTTTAAAATATTAAACAAAGATGAAATAATTGCTGTGTTACATCTATGTTTCTTGCTGGAAAGTATCAATATATATTTTGAAAGTGTTTATTATATAGTATTTTTTATCTTTTACAAATTTTTAGTCAATGTCATGGATTAAAATGATAAGCGATAGTGTTTGGAATAAAGATTTCGACAGTAATATTTAACTCGGTAAAGTTATAATAATTTTATTTGACTGATTCTAGGACATTCTTAAACCAGCTATATATATAGCTAGTTTAAGAATATATATATATATATATATATATATACACACACATACACGCTTTATGCTTTGTCACGTATTCTCTTCTTCTTCCATGTTGAAGTTTCTGGAATTAGCTGTCTAAGAAGTGGAGTTGTATTCATGATGCTAAAAATCAAGCTGAGATCTTGGATAGAGAAGAAATGAACAGATTATACTTGAACAATTCATCAACAATATAATTAATCGATTCTTTCTCCATCTGAGGTTTCAGATCAATTTCTAGAATCTAGCGTGGACACAAGGATAATTTAGACTACCAAGATAATACCTAGGAACTAGAGGATTCAGATTGCAGCAAGAGATTCGAAGTAAGCGTTAAGCTGTGGATTCAAAGAAAACAGAGTAAATGGTGAAAGATGAGAGAACATGGCAAAGTATAATGCGTATAAATCATGTGCTTGCGCAATCGAGAAAATAATGGTACAGTCAGATTAAGAACGTTCTAAAGTTTGAAAACATCTAGTCAGTGAATAAACAGTTATAAATATGATGATCATATTTTGTAAAAGAAAAGACAGACTTTGTGTTCCTAAATATTTTCAAACTAATTCATGACTGTCAGAAGACTATGTATTCATTTCTGAAATGTTCTTGCGTAGTATACCTGAGATAATGCAATTTTGACAATAAATGCAGATATACATCCACTCACATTCATGTACATTCTTTCGTGAATTTTTATAGAAAGAAAGTCACGGTAACAGTAGAAAATAATACTCAGCAAAATAGAGTAGCTGATACTATTTTCTTGTAAGCCTTCTCTATACTATTCTTTCTATAGATATTGTGGCTCTATTTGTAGAAAGTGACAATATTATTTCATGAAATCTATTTTCTGCTAATTTGCACTTCAATTTATTTTACAAAAATGCATTAAAAAATTCTCTAATCTCTTACCTGAAATTTTGAGCAAAAGTATCTGGAAAATCTTAGAATTTTCAGAGAATTTGTTTACAAGATTTCAATAAACATCTATGCAATAAACTTTTCAAGGTATATATATTATTTTCTCTTTATACAAGTGAAGTTTAGTGTTTTTATTTTATAATCTTGTTTATTTTTATATTTATAATTTGGTAGCGAAAACCATCGCGTTTATGAAATAGGTGCTGAGTACTACGGATAATAAGATTATAGTAATCGTGTAAAATACGCAAAGAAAGAATACTCTTTATACTTTATTAGTTATAAAAATATAAAGCACTTGGTAATCTAATCTAATGGATTTGATATCTAATCGGAAAACACTTCCCGATTATAACACCGCAAGACTACTCTGTAACACTGACTAGAAAATAAGACTTTAAATTTTGTTCTAGAAAGAATAATTTCAAAGAAATCATGGCTACACGTTATATAGTACGAAGAGTCCTACGTTCTATTAACGTTTATCATCACACTACATGGTCTACATGGAGCAAATTTTCGATAAACTCGAAAAACCTACAGAATTTTGGGACAGGAATCATTACGGGACTGGCGACGTACAGCATATACAGTGATGTAGTTCAGGCAGCGCAAAATGATTTGCAAATTTATAAGAAAACTTTTATGGCAGAGCCTATCACAGCCATCGAACAATTGCAGAAAAACCCGAACGATATGAAAACAAAAATGGAACTGCTGGTGATGAAGACTCAGGCAGACTTCTGCAGAGTTCTTGAAAAACTGGAGAACGGCAATTCCTTCAAAGTGGATCGCTGGACCAGAAAAGAAGGTGGTGGTGGTATTACTTGCGTCCTGCAAGACGGACAAGTATTCGAGAAAGCTGGTGTTAACGTTTCCGTCGTAACTGGCATGCTACCACCGAATGCTGTCCAACAAATGAGGGCACGCGGCAAGAAGATGGAAGACTCGGTGCCGTTCTTCGCAGCCGGTGTCAGCGCTGTTATTCATCCTCGCAATCCCATGATTCCTACGATTCACTTCAACTATCGTTACTTCGAAGTGGAGAATTCAGATGGTACAACTCAATGGTGGTTCGGAGGCGGTACAGATCTCACCCCGTATTACTTGAACGAGGAAGATGTCAAACACTTTCATAAAGCGCTAAAAACCGCCTGCGACAAGCACGATCCTTCCTACTACCTGAAGTTCAAGGAATGGTGCGACAATTACTTCAACATTGTGCACCGAGGGGAACGGCGCGGCGTGGGCGGAATATTTTTCGATGACCTTGATACTCCAAGTCAGAACGAGGCGTTTCAGTTCGTCACTTCTTGTGCTGAGGCAGTCATTCCGTCGTACATTCCTTTAGTAAAGAAACATAAAAATGATGGTTACGGATATCACGAAAGGCAATGGCAATTATTGCGACGGGGTAGGTACGTCGAATTTAATTTGATCTACGATCGCGGCACTAAATTTGGCCTGTACACACCTGGTGCGCGATACGAGAGTATACTCATGTCTCTGCCACTGAACGCCAAATGGGAATACATGCATGAACCTAAAGCCGGTTCGAAGGAGTTGCAACTTTTAGAAGTACTGAAAAATCCGAAAGATTGGTTGGACGAAGCAAATTCGGACAATGTGCAAGTATAGGTTTTAATTTCTCGAAGTGACTTTCGCGCGATTAAAAAAAATTATGTAAAGGTAATATTATAACATAATCTTAGTACATAAGCGGGATCTGAAATGATGGAACAATATAGATTAATATTTTGAGAGTTAATTTTTACAGATGTATAAAAACTTACTTTGTTGATCATGTGTTTAATAGGAGACGAAAAGAATGTGATCTTTGAAGTGCCAAGTATTATCGAATTATGTAAATAAAAATGGACACAATTTTGTACAATATACATGTATTAATTAGTAACCGGTCTTGTGTACAATCGTACATACATTGAAATATATATTTTTCGAACAAATCAATATAAAAGTAAAAATAATAATGAGATAAAAGAATGTAGTATATAAAATCTCTCAAGCTATTTTAACGCACTTAATACGAACTACATTAATTCTAAAAACTTAAATGACCATTATTTACAATATACCAGGCATTATTGCCAAAAACGAGGTTTTTTGTTAAGATAAGGTAAGTCGGGGGAATACGCCACACTTAAGTGAAATTAGATTTTTGAGTAATTATTTGTTCAATTTAAAATAACTTTACATACTGATCTTTTTCTTTCATCCTTTATCTATGATTTGTGTATAATTTGAATCGAATATATTCATTTTTTGTTATTAAAAATAAAGAAATACGAAAGTGCTGAAAAATGGGTAATATGCCACATAAAAAAATACAATATATTCAATGTATAATGTATATAATATATATATATGTATATATACCTATATATTAGAGAAAATGACTACTGGCATTTTACTTCAACAAAAGTAATGGCATGTGCCCCAAGACGTCATTTCATCTTATGATGAGCCTGTACAGTACGACTGTTAAGGAAATAAATCAATGATGTACTGAATATTTTCATTTTAACCTATTCTAATAGATTAACAAGCTAATCCAGCTAAATATTGTAATGTTTAAATAATAACTTACATAAAGCACTATAAAAGTTATAAGAAGCACATTTTCGTAAACCATGCCGTCATATTTACCTCATAAAAACAATACTATTGTGAGGAAATTCTTGATACTTATGCAACACGTTAAGCATACAATTGTACATAATTCTGTCATTAACGCAAGTGCTGCTAATCGGTATCATTGTTAGACACAACGAGTGGGCATATTCCCCCGACTTACCCTACATGTAAATATATTTATAAAGTCGAAAGTTGGTAGTAATTATATTCAAAATTTCATAAATTTAATATTCAGTCTTCGATTTACAGAAATTCCATTCTTATCTCTTAATTCGTATTAAGTAATCATACTTAAAAGCAAATATCATCTTGTTAAAATAAAGCACGATATCATATTAATTTTAGAGATCATGTAAATGCGGGGAAGATATTTATAATGTATAAATATGTATAAAATTACATAAACGATAATATTACGATATTATAAAATTGAAATGTGATAATTATCAAGTAAATTTCTCGATGAAATTAAGGGGAAATATTTCACAGCCAAAATGATTTTACAATCATATCTCCATGTGATATATATCTATACATGTATATATATTGGATACATATATATATATATATAAAAGAGTATTTATTCAGGATATGATGAATAAATAATGTAGCGAAATTGAGTTAGCTAAATTTAGTATTGAAAAGTCAATACTAAGTTTTTGACACTTGAAAGCCGATATCCATCATAGATCTTATGATCTATATAATATATAAGATCTATGGATGGATATCCAAAGACCTTTTCAAAAAGAAAATCTCACTGGAATCAACATGTCGGCTTGACGTGTCTTGACTAACCGAAAAATATTTTTAGAAGTTTTCTGATTGTAATTGTATTTTGTTGTGTTAAAGTATTATTCTCCTTTTGTCGATATATGTATAAATCAATGGATTTTATCTTATATAGTTATATATATGCTTATATAGTTATATATATACGTACAAATACTCGAAGATAGTATTGTGAAGATTATTTAAATCTGTTGAATTTAACTTCTTCAACTGATCGAAGTCATTTCAAAGCTTTACAGTTTTTGCTTAGTCATATAATATTTAATTAAAACGAACTATCAAGCTGATTGAAGACTATTTGTAGGCATGATTATTAGTAGGCGAATAATTTTCATTATATACAAAATCTCTAAACGCGACATATATAGGAAGAAGACATGAGTATTTAATATATGAGGCGTCTTGAACATGATTCTAGTAATTTCGTTTACAAATTGTAAAATGCTAGTTTCAATATTGCGCAGTCTATGAAATTATGCATAAAAATAAATACGTCGTTGTGTAGCAGCGAATGAATAGTGATCTGTTATTATACATATATATATATATAAATTATATATATATAATTTATACATAAATTATACGATATATAATTATATATGCATATGAGATAATACATATATTATATATATAGTTTATGTATAAATTGTACAGTATATAATTATATATTAAACGCTGGTTTCTTTCTTGACTGGCAAATGGTTCACTGACTCATCTAAATAAATCTCGTCAGCCTCAAATTGTTGTATATCACCCGCAGGTTTCGCAAATGCGTTCATTTCATCGATTAAATTAAGATTATTAATATCACGCGAACTAGACCTACTAATTGACGGAATATCAGCGAGAGAACTAAAGTTCTTCTCCAACAGAAAACCTTTCGACTCGGGTGCATTAAATACATTGTGATCCACGTCTGGCAACTGCGATTTCTCACGAGAATTGTTTTCCTCCAAACTTTTGTCGGAGATATAATAGACATTCGATAGGGAACAGGCGTAGGGGGTTTCCGCGTGCGGTGTTAACGTACATGGATTATCACTAGTCAAGCTGTTTATCTCAAAGAGTGAACGTTCCGAACGATCAAACGATTCTTGGGACTCAGGAACTTGTTGCCCGCATAGATTCGAGCTGGTTGTACTTTGTATATCTATGAACGACGGTTTCGAGTAGTCATGGTACTTTGCGCTCGTTAGGGACGTGAGATCGTTCAACGAATTACAGTAATTGTTTATCAGCGGTTTTTCGTACTCCAACGGTAAACAATACATACTGTTGGAGAGATACAACCGTCCCACATCTCTTGATATGCGTTCCTCAGCGCCGATCTCCATCTCATTCACACTAGGACACCTTTTCCTCGAGAAACGCTCCTGCTGTGCTATTTCCACGTTCTCGTAGATCTCCGACAGATTGTGATCGCTCCGTTCGCTAGTCATTTGCGTGACGGTATCCATCTCGGAGCTATACTCCAAACTACATTGCTGGGAGACGTTTCGTAAGTGCCACTCTTCGTCCGTCTTCGAAACGTCCGCGTCCGAGTCTTGTGCCATTCTCCTCGGTTGCGGCGTTTCTCTCGTATTGGACATCATGATATTAACGTGCGGGTTATCCTGTTGCGCGCTATTATTGATCTTCTTGATGCTATGCATCAAGTTCTCCTGACCGATAACGAAGCGCATCGGGATTCTTTCCTCGGAGATGCTGCCGCCACTATCCGACAATATATTGACGTTTTTTATATCGTTTATGGGGTTTAGCTCGACGTGTATATTGGTATTGTTGACTTTAGCGCTGCTGCTTAGGATGCTGCGTTCTAGACTATTGTTGATCTTTGCGGTAGGCCGAGGTATGGAAACGCAACTGCCGCCGTCACTGGTAGCTCCGCCATCGCCTTGCTTCCTCGGACCGAGATTATTCTTCTTCGCGGTTGCGTGTCTACGTTGTTTCTTGAAGAACTTCCTAGCGACGCCGCTCTGATGAGGATTATAGAACATCTCGACGCAAGCCGACGATGGTTCGGTATAGGTGGTGACGGAATTGTTAGAGTGATACTGATGACGATGCATTACTATCAGATTCGCCGCTTTTGTGTTCACGGAAACGGCAGACATGTTTTCTCGATTGGCCGCCAAGTCTGCGAGCTTAGAGCTGTTGTAGAGCTGTTGCGACTGATTGGTATTCCTCGACGAAGCGACGGAGTTCGTGTCGGATATCGCTTGGGTGGCTTGCGAGTTCGACAACGGCGGGACAAAATTCTGCACGAGAGGCTGCGTCGGAATCACAGAATTCGCGTCGCACACGCTCCTGGTGCGGCAACAACGGTTCTTCCGCTTTTCCAGCCAGCATCGCATCTTTAGCCACTGACTCCGAACATCGTTACGAGCGATTCCGTAGAAGAACAGCACGAAAACACCCAAAGAACTCGTGGTGATGGCGTACATCACGGCGAACACGGTCTCCTCGAACGGCATGGAGTCAAACGGCTTAAGCGTAACCGCGGCTGCACTACTCCAGGATATCAAATACAACACCAACATTATGACTTGGCCCTTCCACTGCGTAAATTGCGAGTGTTCCGGATCCTCAATATCGGAGGACACCGTCTGCGTGCTGCGCATGCTATTCCTGTCTCCGGAAGGATTCGCGTTCGGCTCCAATAATTCCAAATCCATGTTCTCCGTTGCCTGAGTACCCTCAGACAATTGCGTGTTCATATCGACGTTCTGAATCGCACGTCTGATGAGCAAGAGGAAGATTAGCAGGTACGCGATTAAAATTCCGGATGGTATAAAAAGCGCAGCAAGCGCCGGTCCGGACGTGAGGAAGCAATGAGAATAACCGGCGTATTCACGTAGATTGATTGCGCCAGATATTCCGCAAATTATCAAAGCTACACCCCATCCGACCAAGTAGAGTCCTAACAAGGGTTTAGGTAGGGGTTGATCCGGAAGCTCATCGTCGGGTATCACATTGAGGCCTGGTTTCGTCAGTTTTTTGTGCATATTACTGAAACAGAAGGATCTCGATGAATATTTTTTTTTTTTTGAGGGGCATGTATGATGGCTGCGTTCAGCAAAACAAGCAGCTTTGAAACTATTATAAAATTCTTTCATATATGATTGATTTATACATTTAAATCCAGTAAGATAAGAGCAAAATCAATCATATTAAAGAATTTTATATTTTACAAAATTTTACAGTACAAAACCGCTTTTTCTGCAGAACATAGACAATATATTTACCTGGCAGATACTGCCATCCACAGCAGGCAACACAACGACAAATAATGTAAAGTAAGACCGACACCCTGACAAATCTCGATGTGCTCTGTTTGCTGGATGCCGATGCTGTATAGAAATGACAATAGTGCCATGGCGAACCAAGTGTTGATAATGGAATGTTTCGCTTTTTTAGGCATCGTGACAGACGTGTAAGAAATAATGTACGTCACGGACGTGACCAT